CGGGAATTTGAGGGGCAAGTGAGAGAGTGTGTAGCGCCATGGATATAGAAGGAAAGTTCGATGTACTCCTGAAGACCATAGCTGAGAATGAGAAGAAGAGGATGGCGGCGGAAGATCGGACCCGAGAAGATCTGATGGAACTCAAGGCGATGGTGGAGGGGCGCCTTCCCCAGGTAGAGAAGCGGGTGGAGGATCTGAACTCTGCCCTGGGAAAGCTGAACTCCAAGGTCGAGCATTTGGAGAAGCAGCTGCCGCGCGTGATGAACACGAACGAAGAGGTGGCGGCTGCGTCCGCAGGGTTCAGGACTCCGGCTTCTGCCCAGGGTACGCATGAATCTCCTCCTGACTCCGCTGCTCCTTTCAGCTTTGATTCGTCTGCGCAACACAGTACTTTCTCTGCAATGTCCACTGGAGTTTGTGGTAGTGTTCCTCCGATGACTTGTCCGCAGTTCAACGGTGATAATCCCCAGATGTGGCGAGCAAATTGTGAAGTTTATTTTGACATCTATGGAGTTTTACCGCAGAATTGGGTAAAAGTGGCTACTCTGAATTTTTGTGGTAATGCGGCATTCTGGCTTCAATCTGTGAGGAATCAACTGATTGGTATTACTTGGTCTGATTTGTGCGAGAAGGTGTGTGCAAGATTTTCGCGTGATAGACAACAGGCCTTAATCCGACAGTGGATTCATCTGAAACAAGGGGGATCAGTTGGAGAGTATGTAGAGCGTTTTGATTGTGTAATGCATTAGTTACTGGCTTATGAGCAAGCTGTTCCGCCGATTTACTTCGTTACAAAATTCATGGAAGGTCTTAGAGATGATATTAGATCCATGGTTCTGATGCAAAGGCCTCAAGACTTGGACACTGCGTGTTCTTTAGCTCTACTTCAGGAAGAAACTGCTGCTGAATCAAAACCAAATAGTTTCAAGAGATCTGATAGTGGAACTTATTTGAAATCCCCACCCAGAAGTGCTACTCCTCCCATTTCTCCTAACTCATACAGATCCAGTCCCAGCCAATCCCCTGAAGACAAGAGAAACATTGAATCACCTAGAGTGAGAGAAGATAGGATATCAGCCCTGAAAGCTTACAGAAGATCTAAGGGATTGTGTTTTACCTGTGGAGAGAGATGGAGTAGAGATCACAAGTGTGCTACTACAATACAGTTACATGTGGTTGAGGAACTATTGGAAGCAATTCAGGCTGATCCTGAGATTATTTCAAATCAAAGCAGTGTTCCTGAGGGAGATGAAGATACACTTATGTCCATATCTTCACAAGCATTACATGGTTCTGAATCTTCTAAGTCTATCAAGTTAAGAGGATGGGTGCAAAACAGAGAACTTTTAATGCTTGTGGATTCTGGCAGCACACACTCTTTTATTGATGAGCAAAAAGGTCAACACATGAGAGGCTTGCAAGCTCTTCAGTCTCCTTTGAAAGTGCAAGTAGCAGATGGTGGCCAGATTCCTTGTTCCAGGATTATACCACAGTGTAGCTGGTGGACTCAGGGACACAGTTTTAAGACTGATTTCAGACTTTTACCTTTGGGTTCATATGATGTGATATTGGGCATGGATTGGTTGGAGCAGCATAGTCCTATGCAAATCAATTGGTCCCATAAATGGTTAGAATTCTAGTATAACCAGCAGCTCACCAGGTTACAGGGACTGATTCCTCAGTTGGATCAGTGTGATACTATATCTGTCCACCAATTGCAAGGTATGGCTAAAACTGATTCAATAGAATGTATGGTGCAACTCATTCAAACTGCTGAACAAGAAACTAGTGAAGTGCCTGCTGAGGTTCAGCCCCTGCTACAAGAATTTCAAGACCTCTTCACTGAACCCACTGGCTTACCTCCTAAAAGAACTTGTGACCATCACATACCACTTATTCCAGGAGCTAAACCAGTGAACTTAAGACCATACAGGTACAAACCTGCACTTAAAAATGAGATTGAACGACAGGTGGCGGAGATGCTGAAATCAGGAGTGATCCAACCTAGTCAGAGCCCCTTTTCATCACCTGCTCTCTTAGTTAAGAAGAAAGATGGCTCCTGGCGCTTATGCATTGACTACAGGCAGCTGAATGCTGTCACAGTGAAGAGTAAATACCCTGTCCCAATTATTGAGGAATTACTGGATGAACTGGCTGGCTCCAAATGGTTTTCCAAATTGGACTTAAGAGCAGGGTATCATCAGATAAGGATGGCTGAGGGGGAAGAATTTAAAACAGCGTTTCAAACACACTCAGGTCATTATGAATTTAAAGTCATGTCATTTGGACTAACAGGAGCTCCTGCCACATTTTTGGGTGCAATGAATACAACCTTGGCCACTGTATTGAGGAAATTTGTGCTGGTATTCTTTGATGACATCCTCATCTACAGTCCAACCCTCACAGCACATCTGGAGCATTTGAGACAAGTACTTCAGCTGCTATCTGAACACAACTGGAAGGTGAAATTGTCCAAATGTTCTTTTGCACAACAAGAGATATCCTATCTAGGTCACATCATTGGTTCTGAGGGGGTTTCCACTGATCCTAAGAAGATACAAGATGTGGTTAACTGGGCTGTACCCAATACTGTCAAAAAACTAAGGGGATTTCTGGGGTTAGCAGGATACTACAGAAAATTTGTGAAGGGATTTGGAGAGATTAGCAAATCCCTCACTCAATTGCTAAGGAAGGGGGTTCCATTTCAGTGGACTCAGGACACTGACAATGCTTTCCAACATCTCAAGAAGGCTCTGGTATCTGCTCCTGTTCTAGCTCTCCCTGACTTTACAAAACAGTTTACCCTGGAAACAGATGCCAGTGAGTTTGGCATTGGTGCTGTTCTATCACAGGACAATCATCCTATAGCATTTCTCAGCAGGGCTCTGGGTCCCAAGTCTAAGGGGTTATCTACTTATGAGAAGGAATATATGGCCATACTGCTAGCTGTGGACCACTGGAGACCTTATTTGCAGCATGCAGAATTTCTCATTCTCACAGATCATCATAGCCTCAAGCACTTGTCTGAGCAAAGATTACACACACCTTGGCAACAAAAAGCTTATACCAAGCTGTTGGGACTGCAGTACAAAATATGTTACAGGAAAGGAATTCACAACTCGGCTGCTGATGCCCTTTCTCAAAAGGAAGACACTGTTAAAGCTGAACTAGTTGCTATATCTGAAGGAGTACCACTTTGGATGCAGGATGTCATTCAAAGTTATGAGACTGATTCCAACTCCACACAATTACTAGCAGAACTGTCTATCAATCCCAATGCCAGACCTCATTTTACACTGAAGCAAGGCATATTAATGTACAAGGGCAGGATCTGGGTTGGCCAGAATGGTGACCTCCAATCCAAAATTATTGATGCTCTACACTCTGCACCCATTGGTGGTCACTCAGGATTCCCTGTTACTTACAGAAGAATTAAAGCGCTTTTTGCTTGGGCTGGCATGAAAAGAATGATACAGACCAGAGTGAACACCTGTCAGGTATGCATTCAGGCCAAACCAGACAGAGCCAAATACCCAGGTTTGCTACAACCCCTGCCTGTTCCTGCAGCAGCTTGGCATACTATCTCTATGGATTTCATTGAGGGTTTACCCAGGTCCCATCATTTTAATTGCATCCTAGTGGTGGTCGACAAGTTTTCTAAATATGCTCACTTCGTTCCTCTTTCACACCCATTTTCTGCCGCAACTGTTGCTCTTGAATTCTTGAAACATGTTTACAAGTTGCATGGGTTACCCAACATTATCATTTCAGATAGAGATCGAGTCTTTACCAGTAACTTCTGGGAGCAACTTTTTGCGAGGTCTGGAACAAAACTGCATATGAGCTCCGCGTATCATCCTCAATCAGATGGCCAAACAGAAAGGGTGAACCAATGCCTTGAAATTTATCTGAGATGCTTTGTCCATGCCACTCCGACTAAGTGGTCCCAATGGTTATACTTGGCAGAATTCTGGTATAACACTTCTTATCATTCCACATTGAACAAGTCCCCATTTGAAGTCCTGTATGGCTATAAACCTAGTCACTTTGGCATCAGCCTCAATGACTGTGCCATACCAGATGTGTCTCAATGGTTGCAGCAGCGCAAATTTATGCAACACCTGCTTCAACAACATCTGAACAGAGCTCAGCAACAAATGAAACACTTGGCAGATAAGAAGAGGAGTTTCAGGGAATTTCAAGTTGGTGATTGGGTTTACCTCAAACTTCAACCTTATGTCCAAACATCAGTTTCTACTAGAGCCAACCACAAGTTATCTTTTCGTTATTTTGGACCTTTTCAAATCTCTGCCAGAGTGGGCTCAGTAGCTTATAAACTGCAACTACCTGCTTCCTGTCACATACATCCAGTATTCCATGTCTCACAATTGAAAGCAGCCCAGGGATTCTCTCATCCAGTGCACTCTAATCAACCTCCTGATCTGAATCATTTTCAGATTCCTCACCAGTTTATTGATTATAGAGTGACTAAAAGAGGTAACACTCCCATTACTCAATTGCTAACTCAATGGACAGGTTGTGATGCTTCTGCAGCTACATGGGAGGACATGGAGGACTTGCAGTCAAGATTTCCTCAGGCACCGGCTTGGGGGCAAGCCGGTTTCCAAGAATGGGGGCTTGTCAGGCCTCCATCTCCACCAAGAGCAAGAGAAGATACAGAAGAGATGATACAAGAAGGAGCAGAAGAGGAAGAGGTGCTGGAGCCTGACGACAAGGAAGCAGATGCCCAGGAACAAGGAGGAAAACCAGACTTCAAGACCAAGAAGAAGCAAGTACCAGTCCAGCTTGGGCCAAGAGCAAGGAGGCCCAATCCACGCTACAAGGGTGACCAATGGGTCCAGTAAACAACCAGCTGGCATGAGCTGTCTGAGAGAGAGAGAGATCAGCCGAAACTATGTAATATAAACGCAAACGAAGAACAAGTAGAAGGCGGCTAAGAACTGGAATATGCGCGGTGGCGTAGGCGGCGGCGGCTCGATCCTTCGGGGTTGAGAAATCTTGTATGCGCAATTCGTGATTAATTCCAGTTCCTGAGAGATAATCGTTGGGAGTTCCTAACACGCCTATTTGTTAGACTGTCATGCACAAGCAGACATGTCGCAAATGTGGAGCAATAGAACGACATGCTATTTGCAGCCACGTAGCTCGAGAATTCAGCATATTCTTTGAGCAATGGCATGCCAGCATCCTCACCGTCTGCAATGTATCCCCCAGGAGGAGTGAAAGCAGCAGCAAATGAACCTGCTGCGATTAGTACGGAGATACATAAGATACTTTGGGACACATTGGTGTAAACGCTTGATTCCTCCTTGTCTTCCAAGAACCTCTTATCAGCTCGATTTAGGAATCTGCTGGTATAAGCATTACAAGCTTGTAGGCACATGGTGATGCTGGTACTAGAGAGCTGCACAGAATTCAGAAGAGAACAAAAATTAACACAAAATTAAGGTGATACAGAATGTTGAAAGAGCAGAATGCATGACATAGGAAACGTACCCATGATAATGAATAATAACGAGTGCTCTTGTTGAAGGCAACATCTAGAGGTGTTGATCCCCCATGGTTAATAATGCTGAGATTCACTCTAGTATTCATCATAAGACAGGAGATGATAATTGCATTGCCATGCTTTACAGCTAGATGGAGCGGTGTGTTTCCTTCACAATCTCCTGCATTCAACAACCTCGTGAACTTTGGGTTTCTGCATATGTACCACACCACCATTAACCTTCCATATTCAACAGCGCAGTGTAAAACATTTCTCTGTTTGTTGTCAAGCAACTCATCACAGTTTAAACACATTTCCATCAACATACGGGTAACACTGGCCTTGCCGGCTATAGCAGCAACATGCACAGGAAATAGGCCATCATTATCTGGAATGTATGCAGCTGAACTGTTGTCCAGTAGAAGTTCGACCAATCCAGTTTCCCCAGTTAATACAGCATAGTGAAGGGCAGTTCTTCCATCGATGTCAACCTTTTCGGCAAGTGTTGGCTCCCAGCGCCTCAGGGACTCGCTCATTTCTCTAGTGGAAAAAGAAGTAATATAGGTTATCAGTTCACTAACTAAAGCTGTGTTCGGGAGTTAGGGTTGGGAACCCTCACTCCCCAGCACGGAAAACGGAGCAGTGATTAGCGCGCGATTAATTAAGTATTTGTTAATTTTTTTTTCAAAAATAGATTAATATGATTTTTTTTAAGCAACTTTCGTATAGAAACTTTTTGCAAAAAATATACCGTTTAGCAGTTTGAAAAGCGTGCGCGCGGAAAACGAGGGTGGGAGTTGTGAACCCCTGCTAAAGAATGCAGCCTAAGACAAGTAAAAACACAATCAATTTTCTGTATCTCCAGATATGCAAAAACATATATACATAGTTATTTTGTACTACTCCACTACTTAGGACATATACGATGACCATTATTAGTACGCTCTTAGCCTTGCAAATTATGAATATTTGCCGACATGGAAGAGATAAAAAAGAGTAGATATAGAACATCGTTGCTATGATTAACAACGGCTCAACATTGATTCTTACCCTCTATAAAGTGAGAACATGGCATAACGGTGAAGAAAAGGAATAAATAGTATTAAATAGTATTTTTTAAGTTGATGGTTAGAGCCTTTATCGTCTTAACAGTATAAACGGTCCGTAAATAATATTTGTATTGTCTAAGAGCTCATACTAGACTCTACCACTGAAGCATATCCCAACTTTCGCAAAAGCTTCTCCACCAGGGAGATGGAGTTGAGAACGGCAAAAGTTATGGATTGTAAGGAACATGGACGATTTCTAGTTACCTTTACCGATGTAGACCGCAGCGTGCAACGCGGTTTTTCCATCTGGCCCCGCGTAGCTTGCTGGCGACCTCACACCGTCAGAAGATTTTCCGATCAATATGCCAACCATATCTGGCCGGTTGGACACAACCGCCAAGTACAGCGGTGGCCAGTCCGCTATCGCTCGACATCAGCTTCTGCAAGACCGGTGCGTAGCCGTTCCTGACCGCCTCATGCATCGCGGTCGCTCCACCTGAATTCCATGCCCTCAGCACAGAACGTTCAGGTTCTTGCATGGCTGAAGCAGCACGGACAAGGTAATCGACCACATCGGCATGGCCAGCCCTCGCGGCACAGATCAGAGGTGTGTCCAGCTGATTGTTCCTCGACTTGATGAGCGAGATGTCGTGAGTACATATCATCACGACGAGCTTCAGGTGCCCACGGCTGGCTGCGATATGGAGCACAGAGCTGCCCTCTGCTGTGACACCTTTTAGGCAGCAGCTCTGATCAACGTCACCTTGCTCAGCTGTTGCTGTTGGCCATATGCCTAGAGCCTGCGCTAAGAGGTCTGCATCGCCGGTGGCAACAGCTTTGAGCAATTTGTGTTCCATTGTGTGTGAAGTGTGCCTCCCTGCCATGGTTCTTGCTTGGCTCACAGAACAAGCGAGGCACGGGGAAGTCAAGTCAGCTCTTGCAGGTAAGTTCCAGCCCATATATAATACAGGGTCCCCTGCTATCCTATCAACTGTTTCTCTGTTCAGACAATATCTATGTACTAGTGGAGAAAGAAAAGTATTAGCTTAGTCACTTGCATTCGTACCTTGGAACCTTTCCTATGAACCTCCTGTTTTGTTAGTATTATAATCATCATCATTTTTTTAAATGTAACAGGAAGGGTTGACCCCTACTGATTATATTATGGTCAGAGAAAAGGACTATATTATGGTTAAAGAAAAGGATATTTATGTACAAATTAATTTGCTAGGCTTCAGTTGCCTGATTTTAGTTATCTGTTCAATCAATGCAAAGCAGCCGTCCGTTCTCGATCCTATGGTTGGTGCTTCATCTTTGGGCAGGTCTAATGCATGGGTCGCACGGGACCCACGCGAATGCGGCTAGGCACACATGCACGAGGGTCTAAGGGGGAATCCAAATCCCAAAAAGGCACTCTAGAATGAGGTTCAAAACACAATCTACCTTTATATTTTTTACATCTTTAAATGTGTTTTCTGAATAATCTGAAGCGTATATCTTTTTAACAAATCATGAAGAGAACAACCCATCCTCCTACAATAATGATCAGCTCCTTGAGTACTGATACCATGCTTTATCCAATCAAATCATACTTTCATGAAAACGTGAATATATTTTTTTAAAGAAAAACTAAAATTGTTAGTGATAGAATAACACATGATATTGTAATTAACATGCAACAACTAATGTGATGGCTCCTATGAGAAAACTCATCTAAAAGAAGGGTTATAAACAATCACGATGATAGTTATTAAAGACATATCTTCCCATTGATTACATAAAAAATAATGATGGTAAAAGAGAACGTAGTAATATTTCTACTAATCGACAGATCAGTTGGCAAACTGCAGAAGCACTAAAAAATTTGCTCACTTTAGATGCCATTAACTGGACCTGTTCAGCTCCTATATGGACTGGATGCAATTGGACTTTGTAGTTCCATTTAGTTTTATTTCTGAACATCATCCTCAGAATAGCCATCAACCAGTAACAGTAACCATCACCGTGCAAGCTTGAGCACCGACGTTGTGCCCTAGCACTGGAGTACTGACCCCTTCATCTATAAGAAAAGTATCTTATCAGGTCAAATGTGCAATGAAAATGCTAGATTAGAGGAATGCACAGGCAAGAGCACCTTCCCTATAACTTTGTTGCAGAAGGGCGTATTGTTGTTGCTGGTACAAGACCAAATTCTGCAACAGCAGATCCAGCGGTGGCTGCTTCTCAATTGGCATTCACCTCTGTCAGTGCTGCCATCATGATCGTCAGAGAGATCGCCCCTGAGCACCAGTGGGCATTTCCTGTGAGGATAATGAGAGGGAAGGGAGTGACCGCGGAGCGTTCAATGCATATATCCGTTTGCAAACTGAAGTATCTTCTGAAGAATTTCATCCCCCGTGGCTTCTTCTGAAGCCAATATACTCTCAGTAGCTTATTCTGAAGCTTTTCATACCCTGAAAAGGTAACATATAAATTGCAAACATGTTCCTTCTGCAGATATAAATTACTGAACTCAGGCAAGGAGAATGTATATAAAAAAAAGGTTAAAGAAGCAGATGTAGTGCACTCCTTCAGTGAAATAGCAGAGTACAAAAATGTAACTCTGAATGATTGTATCAACCATTGCATATATGCTTCACACTTGGAAACTGATCAATATTTCAATGCTGGGCATATGGCACTTGCTTGTCCTTACCACCTTGACTAAATCAACAATTTGGAAATCAAACGATCCACCACAGAGGAGAAATAAAATAATAACACTTCACAAATTTGTTTTCTTGTGAATCAAAGACTATTTAGAATCTTGAATATCCTTGTTTTTCACCTGAACAAGTCCTAAGCTATTACTCAAGAGTCAAGACTCATCTTTCATACATGCATTATATGTAACTTTCACTTTTTTTTCCCAAAAAACTTTCATATGTTTTATGCCTTCTAATATTAACTTAAGTAATACATAACTCATATCAGTAAACTTATACTCCAAATAATATGGAAAACAACAAAAAAAATAGCCATATTTACCTTGATGCTAAAACTATAACTTTTTCAAATACCACTTAAAAATCTGTACGCCATATTTAACCTAGTAATGTAATACCTCACTGCAGACGTTAAATCCTAGCTAGAGGTTTTTCAACTTCACACCAATTTGAAGAATCTTTTCACCTTTTTTTTGCGAGGAATTTTGAAGGAATTATGAGTTCTTGTTATTAAATTGGCACACTAGGAATGGTAATTTAGCAGACCACCTATTCAATGGTAAATCATGACAGTGAAGTGCCACACAAGGTAGGGAAGAGGCCCAACGATTTCTCAAACTAAGCAGCATCAGGCGATTAGTAGTCAGCGACGCTAAGCATCCCCACCCAATTCGATCAAGCCACCCGTCGTCTCCTAAAGAACGCAGGCACCAAACAGCAGGGTCACGAGCAAAAGGGCTAATGATTTGGGGGGAGGGAGCGGGGGCAACCTGAGGACGCCCCACGTGTTCTGGGCGGCGAGCCACCTCGCGGTGGCGGCGGCCTCGGTGGGGGGCGGGCTTGCCGGCGGTGACGATGGGACTGGGACGGCCGGCAGCGGAGGGCGGAGGGCGGAGCATCGCGGTTGTGTGCTCCGCTCGGTGTGAGAGTGAAGTCGTCGAGGATTTGGCACCACACGGATTTCAAGATGTAATGTGCGTATGACAGGTAGGACCAGGTATTAATACTATAGTAAGTAACTATTGTATGAATTGGCTATTAAGTTAGCTATAGATGATTTGGAGCGTGTAGTTGGCTATACTATTAAACTTGCTCTTAGGGCATCAATGTATATTTTGGAGGGTCTCTTTGATTTAAAGGAATGCCTAATAATTTTTTGAGAAATGGGATTGCAAATGATTTTTTCCTTCGAGCCTCTTTGATTCATAGGAAAGGCAAGTATAAATTCCATAGGATTGCATTCATATGAGTGGATTCCAAAGGAAACTAAAAAGAGGTCAGACCTCTTGGAAATGAAGTGATGTGCAGATTCTTTTGTTTTCTCTATGCCTCTATCAAAGGGATTTCTTACGTTTTCCTCTGTTTTCTCTTTCCGTAGGATTTGAAAATACTACCACTTCAAATCCTGTGTTTTTTCTATTCCTACGCTTTTCTTATCCTGCGAACCAAAGGGAAAGTGGTAGTAATACGAAACCAATAAAATTATATTAGGATATCGGCGGCGTATATTTATCGATGTTAGGAGAAGACGAATTTTTTTTAGAAATAATACGATTTTAATGGAAAATCGTAAAAATATAGGTCGGTTAGACGAAATCGCAAGTTTAGCACTCTGTCGAACAACCGTGTTCGATAGGGTACCTATCCACCATTCGACAGGGTAGTTGGTCCAAGGAAAAAAAATAAAAAAGTATATGAACAGTGCCGCTACAGTGATCGGCAGGGCATATCGAAGATCGAACTACTCCTGTTCAATATGTGAGGATGAACAATGCCGCTATAGTGATTATTCTCTTTTTTTTAAAAAAAAATTTATCACCTGTCGTTGTTCGATAGGTACTCTGTCGAACCTCGAACCGCGGTTGTTCGATAAGGTGCTAAACATGTGATTTCGTCTAACCGACCTATATTTTTGTGATTTTCTATTAAAATCGTATTATTTCTAAAAAAATTTTGGAGAAGACATCCTCCAGTCCTTTATTTACATGAGATGGCAATAAGGTGGGGTCCACGGATTAAAAACAACTCACCACTAACGGAAACCCTACACGCGAGTTCCCTTCATGGATCCGGTAGTAATGTTATGATTCGGTTGTAACTATGCATCACTCTCGCAATGCTATTAACATGCTTACTACCTTTTTTTCAGGTGTCCTTAGTGACATGATAATAGGAGCCTCTCAAGGAGGAGCTGATAGAATGATTGATTGATTTGCAATTACATTTGTTTTTAACTCTATATATAACTAGAAAAAATGACGTGCGTCGGTGAAGACTATTTTAATCTTATTATTGTTATGTGGTTTAGTTAAGATGTAATTCATTGTAGGAATTTGCTTGGATATATATATATTTTTTAGAAAATTATAAACTGCAATTAGGAGTCCTTTCTGTATTTCAAAAAACGAACGAACTTAAAAACCGACTCAAATATGGATATGTATTTCCAAAAGCGAATAAAATTAAAAATCAACTCATACATGGATGGCGTTCCAAAGTACCAGCAAAAACATCTTCAATTTTTATAATAACTAGAAAAAATGTCCGTGCGTTGCAACGGGTGAAGTCTATTTTAATCTTATTATTATTATATGGTTTAGTTAAGATGAAATTCACTGTGGGAGTTCGCTTGGATATATATACTTTTAGAAAATCATGAGCTGCAGTTAGGAGTCGATCATCTCAAATTAGCATGCGAGTTTTTTAAACATACTTCTTATATGATTCCTTCTGTATTACTAAAAGTGAACGATCTTAAAAACCAACTCAAATACAGATATGTATTTCCAAACCAACTCATACACGGATGACGTACCAAAATACCGGCAAAAACATCTTAAATTTTTATAATAGTAGAGATAGAGATAAACAAAAATATGCTATTCAATTTAGAGAACAGTTAACCTAGCTAAGGCATTGGATTAGTTAGAACATAGGATGAGGATTGGGAGTTAAAAGACTAGTAGCATTGAAAGGTTGGGGTATTGTACTTTTACTAGTGTACACTAAGTATTTTTTTTGTTAAGTTGAGAAGAAAAATATATACTTTGTCCCATTATCAATTTCTATCTCTTCTCTTTCTTGCTAGCTATCCTCACCTCCCCGATTACATTTAATTAGACTTTAGTGTGGCTGATGTAGACTTCAACACTATGTTAATGAGAAGTGCAGTACCTTTACACTGAGGTCCATTGCGATATCTGCAGCATGGCAAAGTCCAACAATATGGCAATTGAGTGAAGCTCTGTGAGCAGCGCACGGTCGCTTGTGGCCATTTAGCATTAAGACTCCTAGTGTTTGTGCGGAGGCCAGCCAATAGAAGGATATCGCAACCTTCCAGCCCATGTCCTCTTTGCTCCAACTAGATCAAGTGTTTTGCTCTTACGGTGGAATGGTGCAAAGCATCATGATGAGGTTCCACCTTCCTTGGTGATAGGGAAGATGGAGTAGACAATGAGCTCTAGAGGCTGGTATATATGGTCTATCACCGCGCATCTTTTTCTTCGTCAAGCCATGACAGTGGCAAGCCCAAGCATATGGGAGCTCAAATCTAATGGTGGGAGCTCGAATCCAAGTAGAGATCTGGGGACGATACAACTCACCAGCATTCGTACTCCTTCGCTCTTATCCTACCCACCATCGTTCTTGGATGAAGAGGAAAGAGGAAGAAAAAGAGAAAAATGGGAGGGAATGTGGGGGATCAGTTTGTAAGAAGGGTAGCCATCTCATCTCTGTGCTTGCCCTGTCTCATTTCCCTTCTCCTTGTTGCTCTCATTAGCGCGAAGGCCTGATACCCATAGGTACCTAACGCCTGGGTATCGACTTCTTGGTACCTAGATTGTTTGGACTGATACCATAGACCAGTAGACCTGATACCTAAATATCGAGGATACTTGATACCAAGATCAACATGATACCCATATGTACCAAACTTGGTATTGGGTACCTAGTACTCAAATCGGCCTAATACCCATAGGTACAAGACTTGATACTTGTGTATCGGGTATTTGGTACCCAAATTGGAGTTGACGTTAGCATCAAAACAAACAATGTGAGCGTGTTGTGTCTCTAGCTAGGAGACGTGCGCTGACGTGTGAACCCTTGCGTGGTGATGGGAGGAAATGTACATTAACGCATGTACCCTCATGTGACTATTACGTGAAGCTAATCGATCGGAAGGAGTGGTTGGTTGGTCAAACAATTATCCTCATTAATTTATCCCGTCTAGACGGGAGCCCGTGCAGTAGTCGTCCTCCTTTGCATACCTCACTTGATGAGTGATCACAATAGCGTATCTTTCATATCCTATGATCTGATCGCACTTAGTCCCTACCACCCTGTGGAAGGGCTCAAGAAATCTTAAACTTTTTAGTCCAATTCCCTAGCTACTGATCCAAGGCCACTTCAATTTCGGCCAAAGGGTATTCCTAGATAAGTCTAGTTATAAGTCTGTTTGATTCGACTCTAACCTTTATTTAATTACATGTAAGAAGTAAATATTTATTTAATTACGTGTAAGAAGCCATTATATATACATCACTGTAAGCGCACATTATGTGCTTTGCTTAAGTGTACCTTTTATGTAGATGTACCCCGCACCCTTGAACTCAACAAAGTTTGAAAGCCATACAAACAAGTGGAAAATAAGGCCCAGCAACCTTCCAACATGGTGCACCTTTGAGCCTTTAATAGCTTCTTCAGAAAAGCAGACAAGCAGCCGGTAACTATCCAACATGGTGCAGCTAAAAAACATCCAAAAACTATACTTTGAGAAACTCCCAAACTGGGGATCGACTCAAACTAAAACATTAACCTGTCCTTAAACCCAGAAGAATACCATATGCGGAACTCAGAGAGTTTTGCTTCAAACAATTCATTTCCAGAATTCCTGCATTCCAAACATGTTAATCTTGAGCTACACTATTTTCTATGGAAATTGTTATGCATACGACCCAACTGTCCAACTCACGTACGACTGAATTTGATCGACGGTTATAAACGGCTACAGTGCATATGAATATGCTCTCATTTGATTGATCTACAGTTACATGTCTCTAGTTATACATTAGTTATATAATTGTGTCATATAGCACTACTCATTTTTTATTCCGTACAGTTGAGAGCTTTTGAAAAGCAGGGTTTTCACATGAATTCATTAAATTCCCACAAAATTCCTCCAAACTTTCTTCAGTTACAAAACCAAAACTCCTAATTTCACAAACAGACTCTTTACCAAAAATAAAAAGTAAAAAATAAATCACAAACCGGAAACCGTCACTCTCCAAAGCTTGACGTCACAGTCCAACGAGCCACTGCAAACGAGAGCAGCGCAGCTGCAGCTCGAGCTCTCCTCCACGTGGCACGCGCAGCAGCGATCGCATCCTGCTCCTCCCCTCGCCAATGCCAAGCTCTTCACGGCGCCGCCATGGCCGTCGAGCACGGCCAAGCAGGTGTACGCCGCCGTCGCTCCCCGCCTCCACACCCTCACCGTCCTGTCCGCCGACCCGCTGCACACCACGTCGCCGTCGGCGGCGAGGCACAGCACCGCCCTCGCGTGGCCCCTGAGCGTGGCGGTAGCCACCATGCGCACGTCCGCGCCACCGGCGCCGGCGCCGGCGGAGTTCTCCCACGCGACGACGGACCGGTCGCACGCGCCGGAGTAGAGCACCCGCCCGCCGCCGCCGAGCGCCAGCGCGTTCACCGCGGCGCCGTGGCGCTCCATGACGCAGACCAGCGAGAGCTTCTTCTGCCCCGTGCGGCGCCTCCACGCCTTGACCGTCCCGTCCGCCGACGCCGTGTACACGTGCCCGTCGGGCGCGGCGACGACGGCGTTGATGGCGTCGTCGTGCGCCGCCGCCACGGACTCCGCGCACCGGAGTCCGGGCAGACGCCACGCCTTGAGGCTCCGGTCCCACGACACGGAGTACATGCTCTCGCCGTCCGGGGACAGCGCGAGCGCGGTGACCGCGTCGACGTGGTGCACCCACGCCCGCCTCTTGTGCCGCCGCACCTCGACGTAGCCGCCGCCCGGGAGCAGGAGCGCGCGGAGGCAGTCCGCCGCCGTCGGCAGCACGGCGCGCAGCGCGAGGCGGCGGCGGCCGCCGGCGTGCCGCCACACCCTTATCGTGCCGTCCTGGTGCGAGCTGACAAGCCCATCGCCGGTGGCGGCGAGGCACTTCACCGGGCTACCGGTGACGGCGACGGTGGATCTGGACACCTCGCCCTGCGACGACGACGACGTCGACTCCTCTCGCACCATGGCCATGGCCATGTCCAGCGGCCACAGCCTGATGTGGCCGTCCGACGAGGCGACGTAGAGCGAGTCGCCGTCGACGGCGAGGCCGGAGACGTAGGAGGAGTTGCCACTGAGCGTGGCAATGCACTGGTAGTGGCATGAGCTTGAGCTTGAGCTTGAGATTGTTTGGGAGATGATACCTTCTTCAGAGTTCGGACTCATACTGAAGAATCTGAAGATGATACTTTCTTCAGAGTTCAGAGTTCAGACTCATACTGAAGAATCTGAAGATGATACTTTCTTCAGAGTTCAGAGTTCGGACTCATACTGAACCTGACAGTAAGTTAAAATGATGGAATAATTTTGGGGGAAAAAAAAGCTCTATGCTTCTCTGCAAAGTAGTGAGTTTGAGATAGGTATGAGAAGCAATCTGCATGGAAGTATAGAGGAGATTATAGTAATATGCAGTAGTGATTGATGAGTGAACACATCTTTATACCAAAGTGGCATGTAAAAGGCAATTGCAATTGATGTGTTTTTTATAAAGTTTGAAAAGAATGCAATGCAGAAAAAATCTTGATGATAGGTACTTAAGTCGGGGAAAAGGCGGGTTCTGCAGACAATATTTAAAGTAAAATGTCCTTGTCAAAATGGCAAACTGACGGTCAAAACAAAATCATGTGCTTTTTCCACTAGCCAATAACTGAATCCTTCATGGATGTATTCTAACAAGAAATAATTCCATTATGCATGGATTGTTTGGTTCTTGCTGATAAGATATGCTTAAAACAAGATGTGTCTAGTATCACTAGGGAAGAAATGCAGATACACAACAAGAGGGATATACCTAACTTGGATGATTTGCTCTACCATTTTGGGAGTACATGAAGTCCCCTTTCTTTCTTGGTTCTTTTCTCCCTACTTGCAGCATCCATATTCTTCCAGCAAAAGGTGAGTTTGAAATGATCACTTGTGTTTTTCTGTCTCATCTTTTCTCCATGTGCAGCTCATTTGGGACTGATCAGACACACAACTTTCACTTTGACAGTACATTTTCCATGCTGTAAAAATACTAACGTAGCTGGAGAGCATAAAACCAGACAGCTATATATTGATCAATGCACCATGCACACAACAATCACATCTTGAGCCACATCAATGTGACATTTATCACACTGAACACGAATTACAGCAAAAACAGATGTGGTGATTGTATTTTTGTCATGCTTATCTTTTCATGTTTTGTTTGTATTATTGCTTGCAACAATTTGTATGCGATACATTCGCGAATTTGCGAGCCAACTATGTTAGGCTCACATGTTACTTGTGCTCTTTCCTTGGAGAAGAGAAATTGGTAGAAGTGCATGACCATATCACAACACTAGCCACACAACTTGCAACTTGACAGGATTCTCAGATATAATATGAATTCATATCCCAAAGACAGCATTAGCTGCATTATTCGCACATACTTTGTATAAAGTGGCCATGGCCACTCCATCAGCAACAGTGATTGGAAGCACAGTTTACACATGGATAAGCAAATTCAATGCAATAAAGATTACTTAAGTACTGTTCCTTTTACAGAGTCATTTTCCAAAGACGAGATGAAGCAACTTTGTCCAATCCTTGTCTCACAGTATTGGAGGTAGACAGCCACTTAAACATGTTTCGGTACGTATTGTTCAATCAAGGGCCGAAAGACATGATGTAGCAGCAATAGGGATAAGGAGATAACTATGTAATATATGAACTAGGACCACTGTTGTTGAAGCTTGTACAGGAAAAAGCTGGCTGCATTGACAGCAAAATGAGTGAGCACTTACATTCGGTGTATTGTTGCTCGACAAAAGAAATACACTTAGTGAAGCTACCAACCAGGATTTTAAATTATGGTCTCGCACAGGAAAAGTCACTTACTGGTTCCCATCAAAATATAGGTTAAGAATCGACCTATGAAGAGCGGACCCTCATGTGTAAGGCAGTAGTCGTAAAGCAAAAGTTAAGGCCCGATTCATAGGGGTGACTCCTTGTGTAGGGAGGATTGACTTCCATGGACTTTCTCAGCCCTGGTTTAAGGTGTTTCTTCTTGATTGAAATACCTGGGAAGAGGTCTTTCCCCTTGGGACCGAGTTTTAAAAGAAAGGCATTTAGTGAAGTTGAAGATTGGTATAGAAATTAACTAGGAGTATCTAAGGTTGTCAGGATCGGGATGCTAGGTAGTATCGTTTTGCTCAAAGTAATATCGTAACGTAGTATCGGGATACTATGAGATTTTCTTTTTTTAAGTTTAATTAATATTTATATTAATTATATATAGCCATTCTATATTAAAAAAATATAGTAATGATATATGTCATGCAAATAGAGACATTTATCAAGAGAAACCATGTTGGTTTTTGATATATTTAACTGATTTTCATATAAATTTGAGCATATTTAGTTACATAATTTTCAAACCATGTTATTTTAAATAATATTTTGTAGTGTCGTAGGGATCGTAGAATCGGGATACCACCTAAGATTTCGTAGGATCAAGTAGTAATGAATAGTAGGATCGAGATACTATAAAAATTAGGATACTAGGTGGGATCGGTATCGTTTCGGCTTGGTAGGATCGTAGTATCGTAAGATACTAGGATACGAATCGGGATACTGACAACCGGGTATCTCAGGAGCAATTGGACGATTCTTTGGGGAACAATTGGATGAGTTTTAACAAGTTAACATTATATAACCCCAAGATGGCTTAAGAACTGAAATCCTTGAGGATTGAGGCTTACCATATATCAACTGCAATTGAAAATTCAACTTGTTTGCACATGTTTTCAGGTATACATGAGCATCATATATAGGATGATTGAACTTGTCTACACTCAATGTGGAGTGCTAGATTGTAATAATGGGCTGTAGCTCTCTTGAGCAAAGGCCGGAATGTTATATTCCATTATCTAAAAAAAGAACTTGTCTACTCAGAATCAAGTACAAAGTTGTAATCTTGTTTGGAGATTCTAAAAGCACTTGTGTGACTGATGCAATCATGCAAGGATAAGACTACAATGCTTGCTGAGCCAGTTCAGTTCTATGCCTAACTTCGATTTGCTAAAAATACATAGGATCACTAGCTTTGAGAGAGCCATGCTCACCAAACCAAGAAAGGTGTTAGCAACGTTCAAAAAGATGGGGTGGATATCACAGTAAGTATCAAGTGAATCCAAAGAACAAACAGTTGAGCTGAGCAACTGGTCATGTGATGTGAGAACAAGCTACTAAGCTACTTGAGAAAAGTGGCCTGGTTACTAATCTTTGGTCAGGGCTGTCTCTCAATTCTGGGACACTACTTTTGTAGCCTGCTGAAAATTTTCCAGTGAAGCTAATGTTGATCCAACTTAGCTCTCAAGTCTCAACTAGTAGATTCTATCCGTGAAAGCTAAAGAGACTTCTGAAGCAGCCCTTCACATCAGTGGAAGAAAAAGGGATCCTCCTTTCTGCCTACTTCAATGTTCTTTTCAGCTAACGGATGACGGATTATCACTGGCATGCTACCCAAACTTCTAAACCGCGTGATTTTTATAAAAACTTTCATCATTAGTATTTCTTAGAAAACTTATCTAAATCAACTTTTCAAACTTTCTAGTATTTACTTCATTTTTTTGTGCCCTCAAACAATTGTCATGAGCTCAATTTCATCCATCATCCATCATGTATAAAGAACATGCCATTAGGACAACCAAGCTATGCAACGTGAAAAACATTGCACAATTCAAGCATGCATCTTGCTTTGTTCGAACAACAAGGCATGATAATGATCTAGAGATACAAGAATTTTCCGCAATATGATAATTACATATCATGATGGTAGTTTAGTACTTTGTATTTCCTTCTAGAAAATTTAGTATGTCATATGTTTCAGAAATGAGAATGAATAGATAGGGTTAACCTCGATTGTGGAGTTGTACATGTCACATCTTGAAAGAGCTCTCCCCACCAACCTGCCCTAGTGTTTGATGCTTTGTGATATTTCTATGTTTGCTCAAGAGAGTGAGGAAGAAGGGCATGGAAAATGGTACATGCGACTGTCCACAAACTTTTAAACTTTTTGGTATGTTTTATAAAGTTTATTGTTGAATATTATTCAATTTTTAAGTTTGAGTTGATTTTCAGACTTCTACCAAAGTGTAGGGTTGTATAATGTACTTATTTCTTTATTTATCCTTTTATAGTCTTATTTCTACTTACTTTTACTTTTCCCTACTTGTTTATCTCTATCAAATGAACAATCCATACTTGTGATATTGTACTAAGAAGTTCTTAGAAGATATTTTTGGAGGGATGCTTTATGTCAGGATCCCCTTGTCCCCTACCCATCCACGGAAGTCGCGAGGAGGAGGCGGTCGCTAGTGACGACCTCCAGCACGGGCCATGGAGGAGGACTTGCTCAGTGAGGAGGATGCAACCGCCAGCGGCAGGGTATGGAGGAGGACCTGCTCAAAGAGGAGGGCTGCCAGCGATGACCTCCGGTGCGAGGCATGGATGATCAAGTACCTTCTTAGCACGAAGGACACGACCGTTGTGATGACCTCCAGTGCAGGGCATGGATGGTAGAGGACCTGCTCCTTGTCAACTACATCGCTGCCCATGGTGAGGGCCACTAGAAGCACTCGCGTGCTGCGTTAGTAAGTTCCGTGCAAAGGTTGAAGTGGGCGGGGAAGAGTTGTTTGCTGTGGTGCCTGAACTACCTTCGTCCTGATGTGCGGCAGGGGAATATGATGGAGCAGGAGCAGCTGCTGATCCTAGAGTTGCATGGCCAAGAAGGGGAAATGGTGGAGCAAGATTGATGGGTATCAGTCTAATCCCTCAAGTATCTCGCCTGGTACCTCGCAAGTATCATCTGATACCTCACCGGTATCAAAACCTAATATCACAAGTATCGCTTGTACCTCGCAAGTAATACCTGATACCTCACAGGAATCATCGGATACCCACCGGTATCAAAACCTGATATCGCAAGTATTGCTTAGTACCTCACAGGTATCACCTAATACCTCACAGGAATCATTCGAACCCACCGGTATCAGAGGCTGATATCACAAGTATCGCCTGGTACCTCACAAGTATCACCTGATACCTCAAAGTATCTAGTTCAAGACTTTGACTTTCTCTAATATCAACGTCATCTAAATATTTCTTTAATAAATTAACCCAAAAAACCAATTATTTAAAACTTATAGGTCTTTTGAATTTTGTCCAAAATATCGTCTTTGTAATAAATACCTAATTTTCATTTGGTGTAACTATTTGAGCTAGAGTTGTTTTAACAAAAAAAATTCTGAAAATAATATCATTACACCATCTAAACCTATTGTAATACTAATAAGACTCCATTAAATTCATAATTTTCAATAATTTAAGTTAATATTTAAAATTATTTTTTTAAAGTACTTTAAATCCCATTTAACATCTGTTTTTGGAAAAGATACTTTTGGTAGGTTACATTTTTGAGTTTTATCCTTTATATTATAGTTTGATATTGATTCTTTTTCCAAAATCTATATAAATTATTTAAATGCAGTTATAGTATATTTGAAGTTAATGTTGAGACACGAGGGATTAATCATTCTGTACACAAGCACATTCAAACAAACAAATTGTAAGGGCAACCACAATGTGATAATAGGAGAGGTATTAAGCCCCTTGTGGCTATTATATATTGTGGAAGTAGTCTTGTTAAGTCTTTCGGATGATCCACTCATATGAAATAAATAATATCATCTATCTCTACTACTCTTTTTTTCTCTAATGCCTCAGTGTATCTATGTATATGTATGTTGAGAGGATTGTCATAGTTAAAGTCTATGTATGTGGATCCCATTTATATGGATCAGTTTTGCCATATATCGTAAATAACATGTCGGCTAACACTAGGAAATTCATCAGTTCACCAAATGAATAAAGAAACAATAAACTTGAAGCTTCCACACTAAAATCACCGTCACACAAACATGTGATTCAAAATAATAGCATAGTCATTAAGGATCAGTAGATGAGTGAATCGATATGATGAAAAGTGGATCACATCCAAGTCAACATTAATCTCTTAATATACACTGAGCAACTAGCACAAACAATACCTGCAGCAAACAAAAATACACATCCAGGAGAGGAGACAGCATGTTGTCAGCCAGCCCACAAGTTTTCAGATATCAACAAACAAATGAAACAACCAAGAAATGGATACCAGTACTACAACATAAACGACCTTATGACAAGCATGGTATCATTAGGTATTATTGCACATACAGATAACTGTTCCCTGCCAGTAATCTTTCTCAATGCCCTCTCAAATTTGTGACTGGAGCTGGAGGACCATACACCGACGCAGTTTGCAGTCTTCTTGGGTTCTTCCTGTGCTCAAGAGATGAAATCACCGAGCAAGAGAAAACCATAGCTACGGAACTTGAAGTACCACGTAAATTGTGACTAGAATTTCTGTTGCCTGATAATTGACATGTTGAAGTATATTGAAGAGGGAAGCTGCCTGCTTGGAAAAATGAATGGATCAGAAAAGGGGTTAATTGGGTTCAGTTTCCAGGCCAAGCAGGATTTGGGCTTTTGGCTTAGAATCATGGAATCCATAATTCTTGTCAGCATATTGATCATCTTATTAGAAGCAGACAGATTGATATCACTATAAGCTGAAATAGTTTGGTCATAATTGCCACAAAGTTTTATATCATACTTGCTAGCACCAACTAGTCAGCCAATTGGAGTAGTACGGACTAAAAGGGTTTCAGGCTTGGTTATTCAAATACAAAGTCCTGTCAATTTTATTTCCGAAAGTGCTATCTGAAATCACAACATTACAATATTGTACAGTAGCTAAATCTAATGCACAAGTTAAATTTGATGTATGCAGATCAAACTGAGCAAGATCTGATTCTCTGCACATATATGGTGAATTCTGAAGTAATAAAGCATCAAAACTGAACATCATACTGAAAACACACCCTGCAGCTAGCTTGGCAGATATCCTCCTTGGCTGAGCTATTGTACACCGAAAAATCGCCGCATAATTCACAGTCTCATCACTTGGAATCAGAGGTTTGCACCGTGATCTCGTGATGCGACCCCGATCCATTCGCCACCGGCATTGCCGAATTGGTGATCCTTTCATCTTCCTTCTCTTCGTCTGAATCCAATGTGAACTGCGAATGCAGCGGCATCCCTTCCATCTGCACCTCCTTGCTCAGCATCCTGTACCCGCTCGGCGGCTGGTTTCTTCTTGAGACGGCGGCGCCGTACGCCGCCGCGCCGGCGAGCACGAGCAGCGCGAGGTGGCCGTTGAACTGCAGCGTGGCCGCGGAGCGCGCGCGGTGGTAGTCGTCGTGGGTGCGGCACTTGATGGTGTAGTCGACGCGGCTCTGGGCGTGGAGCGCGCACCCCTGGGCGACGGCGCTGGTGAAGAAGGAGAACCCCATCTGGACCATCCATGTGCCCTGCAGCGCCAGCCCCGCGGCGCGCGCGAGGCGGGGCGGCACGGCCTCGGGGTCGTGCGCGGCGAGTAGCGTGGCGACGAGGCAGACGGCGACGGGGACGAGGAAGAGGTCGAAGTACCGGTTCTCGATCCCGGCGGCGGTGGAGGGCCTGCGGTGGGCGAAGAGCAGGAGCTCCTGCGCGAACGCGGCGGCGAGGACGAGGTCGAGCAAGGGGAGCGGGAGCGGCGCGCGGAGCGGGGCGAGGGGGGCCAGCGCGTAGAGGAGGAACAGCGCGGTGGCGGCGAGCGTCGGGAGGGAGAGGTGGTGTCGCGCGGAGAAGAGCGCGGAGAGGAGGAAGAGCGCGGAGACGATCCCCGCGAGGAGGTGGCGGAGGTGCAGCGGCGTGGCGAGGCCGAGGCGGCGCGGGAGGTGCGACGCCGCGGCGGCGGGGAGGAGGAGGGGGCGGAGCGGGAGGGACTCGAGCGCCGCGAGCGCCAGGAGGCCCAGGCCGCCCGCGGAATACTCGAGGAGGCCCGGCATGGTGCCCTCGCGTCGCCGGCGCCGGTGAGGTTTCCGCGGCGGCGGATCTGGGAGGGGAGGGCAGGTGGCGATCGGATCGCGGCGAGTGGGAGTCAGCGGTTGGGAGCAGCGACGGGAGGCCGGCTCTGTTGACGAAACTGTGCAGGTGGCAGGTGCACCTGGGCTGTGCTGTGAACGGGGGAGATGAGATGCAAAACGTCGGATGACACGTCAAATTTGGCTGGACGAGGGGAAGTGTGAAACGTATAAATGGTGAATTTTCAACATAGATCGGACAAAACCGCGATGTTTCCCGGGGAGAATGATTAAGGGTGTGTTTGGTTCTGATGGGATATGGCGGATCATATTTTACTGGATATGATGATTTTTTTATTTTTCTGGCGATTGAGTTATTTTTGGTTGGTTGAAAGGATCAAGGTGGATTTGGTGATCTATTTTTTTTTTTTGATAGGATGGATGAGTGGTTGCAATCACCCTTTCATCAGAGGTGGTGAGTATACCTCCTTCGAATTTACCAAACCCCAAAAAATATCAATCTACTACAAACAAAAAAAATCTAAATAGAAATAAAAAGCTAGAAAGAAATAAAAAGGAAGGAGAAAAACAGAAAAAAAGAAAGAAAAAAAAAGATCCTCTAACGCCGACCGCCGCGGCGCCTCCTCTCCCGCCGGTCGCCACCCCGTCTCCAAATCATCATCTCGGTCAACGTCGTCGTCACAGTTAGTCGTTGTCGTCGTCGTCGTCGTCGTCCAGATCTGGTCATCATCTAGATTTGGTCGTCAAACGACGATGGCAGCAGACCTCTTCCTGCTGCGTTGCCTCGGGGCTCGTCGTCGTCTCCTCTTCCCGTTGCCGCCGCCTCGAGTGCTCGGGCTCGCCCTTTCTTTCCGCCGCACTCGCATCCTGTGCTGGTCGCCGAGCTCGCATCCCACTGCCTCCCTCACGTCGTCGTCGCTGTTCTCGCATGGTGAGAGGGGTGACGCGATCCACATAGTTGCTCGCCCCGCTCGCCCGAGCTCTCGGGCAGCTCCATCCAGCCAAATCGACCGGATTCCACTACCCGGCATCTAGAGAGAATAATTTCCTCTGGGTCGCCCTATCCCACTCACGCCCACCAACCAAACACGCACAAAAAATGGGCCGCCATGTCCTATCCACCCAAATCCCTCCATCCAAACACACCCTAAAATTCTATAATCTAACATTCTCAACATTGCATTGTTAATTGTTGAATTAGATCGCAGAAATAAGCTATGGATTGCTAATTGTTGAATTAGATCGCGGAAATAAGCTATTAGTTGAGTTCTGGCTTGAAAAGGGAGGAAAAAAATAAACGATCATTGACATTGGTAGCTTGAACATAAATATATTGATTTTAGTTTGAAGCCAAATTATTGACATTGCCAATGTCTAACTTGGCACTTTCTATATTATAATCAAGGTTTTGGCTTCTTATTAGCATCAAACTAAATGCTACTTATCTCTATTAAAGAATTGGTAGTATCAAATCTTATTTAGGATTTGACACTACCAACATTTTCATAAGGTATAGAACCAAACAACCTCTAACATTATCAAAATTGGGTACGGTTAATTTAGAGCAAAGTGAACGAGCCCCAAAGTCGGGACATTCCTACGAGACAGAAAGCGTATTTCCAGGTTCCGTTAATGCAACCGGAAGGCGAAGGAAGGACTAACGCCTGGACACGTCACTACCTCACCCAAACGGACCCAATCCTCACCGCGTCGCCCCCGCCGCCGGCCAGCCGCCGCCGCCGTCGCCCAGGAGGCTTGCAGAGATGTCCCTCTGCTGCTTCAGCAGCAGCACCGCCGCCGCCGCCGCCGCCCGCCGTTTCCTCCTCCCTCACCTCTTCCTAGGCCGCCGCCGCCACCGCCACCGCCACGACCAAGTCCGCTACACAATCCTCCACCACCCGAGGACCCACACCACCGCCGCCCCACCCGCCGCCGCCGCCTCCACCACCCGCCTCTCGCCGTCGCAGCAGCGCCAGGTTTCCCTCTACGTGGACGCCCTCCTCGACTGGAACCAGGTCCCCTCTCCATCTCGAGAACCCCTCTCTCGCCAATTCGGTTTCGGTCACCGTAAACCCTAGCGGCTTACGCGGCCATTGGTCGCCGCTCCTGTGTTCTTCTCCGGTGCTCAGAGGATGAACCTCACCGCCGTCACCGACGAGGGCGAGGTCATGACGCGCCACGTGGCCGACTCCCTCGCCGTGCTGCCCCCGCTCGAGCGCGCGTACCGCGGCGATTTGGGTGGGATGAGGCTTGTCGATGTCGGCTCCGGTGCTGGGCTCCCCGGCCTCATCCTCGCCGTTGCGCGCCCAAGTAAGAAATCGATTTTCTTCTTCTTCTTCTTCCCCCCAATCGATCAGTTGATGTGATGGAGAAGTTTGCTCTTTGGTTGGTTATGAATTATTATGATGTTGCGATGTGGATTTCGTCTGTTTCAGGCTGGAAATTTACGCTGTTGGAGTCGATGCAGAAACGGTGCTTGTTCTTGGAGCATGCTGTTGAGGTCATGGGGTTGTCAAATGTGGATGTGGTGTGTGACCGAGCTGAGGTTAGCTTTGTTTGAGCAAAATATTTTTGCAATGAATTGTGGTTGTTTAACTTCAAATTGTGCATTTGATTGCATAATGGAAATAATTTGTCTCTGATGGAGTTTAGATTTTAAGGTTAGTGTATGTTGACATACCAAATTAATGACAAATGGACATCATGGATGTCCGGGTTCCCCCTAGTGTTTTTTTTGGTTAGGGAAAAGGACACCATGGAAATTAATAAAACAAGAAACATGTTGTGCTTCATGATGGAAGAGATTTGGTGCTGAACACATTTTTAACGATTACCATGAAACATACCATGTCTTCCCAGCTAGTGCCACGATACTCTGTTATATTTTGACCATTTTACGTGCCTTATAGGACAGAATGTTGGCCAAAGTCCTGATTTCCGGGAGGCATTTGACGTAGCAGTAGCAAGAGCAGTTGCAGAACTGAAAGTTTTAGGTATGTAACCTTATTTTTTTCCTCCTGTTATGAGGCATCTTATAGCAATTAAGTCTTCTCCTTGTAGCCGAGTACTGCCTCCCGTTAGTCCGAATTGATGGTTTATTTATAGCTGCGAAAGGACACAATCCCCATGTAAGTCTTTTGGGCATTAGCCTATTGTGCATTTGAATAAAATTAACTTGTGCTAATATAATTTCCTATTTTGTTGTGACAGGAAGAAATAAAAAATGCTAAAAGTGCAGTACATAAGTTGGGTGCCTCCATGTTAGAAATATGTGATGGTATGCTATTCTATCTGCTTATGAAGATTGTGAAATTCTATAGCACATTTTTTATTCTATTTGTTATTTGCACCCTACATGGTATTTCAACTAGTGACTCAAAATAGGGAGAAAATGCTACTCCCTCCGTCCCAAAATACAAGGGATTTCAGGTGGATGGGATGTATCCTAGTACTACGAACCTGGATATGCTCCTGTCCAGATTCAAAGTACTAGAATACGTCACATCCAACCAAAATCCCTTATATTTAGGGACGGAGGGAGTAGTGTGTATGAAACAAAAGAAATTTCCATGGTATCAAAAGAAATGTGGAATGCAATATCTATGTTGGAGAGCTGACGCAATTGTTGACTTGACCCATTTACTAATCAATGGATAGTAACATATATATATATATATCCATGTTGATTGAAGAGTAGATGATGTTTTTGACCTGGTCGCTTTACTAATTCATGAGTATGTCATAATCATATACTCCCAACAACTTAACCCTCTATCCATTCACAGTTGAATCTATGGGACCTCATGGTCAACGGACGGCTGTTGTGTACATAAAGGAGTGCATTACTCCAAAGAAATACCCGCGGCATCCAGGTACTCCTAAGATGCAATCATTGAAGAAGTTTATATTTGCTTAAAGCTGAGACATACAGCTGGTGTTATCCAGGTACTCCTTCGAAGATGCCCTTATGAGAAGAATGTTCACTTTGCTGTAGATTTACAAATTTACAATAGCCAAAAGCTGAAATCCGTGGTTAGCCTCACTTGAATGATATTGGCTGGAAGGATTATTCATAAATCATGGAAGGATTGTTACACCGTCCTGATATCAGTTATTTGATGAATCAGACTAACAAATCGTTAAGCATTTTTTAAAGTGTAATAATTTCTAGGATTGTCACTGTAACAATGTTGCAGTAGAAAAAATAGCATGAATTGCTTGTTGTACCATCCATTTTCCGTTGACTATCAATGTTTCTTGTGAACGACATAGAATATATGTTGTTAGTAGGATACATCCCAAAGTTTTCAACTGCTACGGCTCAAAGTTGTTAGTATGAAATTCGTTGTTCTATTCCATACTTCAAAGACTCTGTCAACATATTTTGTTGGTTAAAACAACAGCTGAAAGAAGCTTTTCTTTCTTACTTTGAAACTAAAATCATATAAAATCACATTGCTTGAACAGTTGAACACGTACACACACATTTCTTGAACAGTTAAATACTTATAAATCCTTCACTTTTGCGTGCACTAACCTACCAAAACAAAAATTAAGCATAGCCCAAGTAGAATGAACCTTCCTCCCCTCTCACTTTCCTGGAATTAATACGCCCATTGTGCACATGGGGGTCACCTCACATATATCGATTGCAACAAAACACACGAGACTAATTCCGACCTTGACCAAACCAAACCCTACCAAATTATAGTACAATTAGAACAAAAACAAACCAAACATATTTACTTAGCCGGCTATACGCGGCTACGTTGGCTGACTTGGTAGTCAGTCTTCTTTGGACTCGTCAAGCTATAAACACAAGCTGATTCATTGCCTTTGCCTCTTCAAATTTCTTTTACCTCGCCCAAGAACCATAGCTGCAATGGCCACCACCACCTCCCCTCTCGTTGTCGTCCTCCTCGCCGTCGTCGCGGCGATCGCCGTCTCGCTGGTGCAACCGGCGTTCGCCTTGCCGGCCGGTCTCCCGGACATCAAGTCTCTCACTAATCCATGGTCGGCGTTCAAGAACCTCTCCGGGTGCCACTTCGGCGACGAGAGGCAAGGCCTTGGCAAGCTCAAGGACTACCTATGGCACTTCGGCTACCTCTCCTATCCGTCGTCGTCGTCGTTGTCGCCGTCGTTCAATGATCTGTTCGACGCCGACATGGAGCTGGCAATCAAGATGTACCAGGGGAACTTCGGCCTCGACGTCACCGGCGACCTCGACGCGGCGACCGTGTCCCAGATGATGGCGCCGCGGTGCGGCGTCGCCGACGTCGTGAACGGCACGTCCACCATGGGCGGCGGCGGCGGCGTCCGCGGCCGCGGGCTGTACTCCTACTTCCCCGGCTCGCCGCGGTGGCCGCGGTCAAGGACGACGCTGAGGTACGCGATCACGGCGACGTCGCAGACGTCCATCGACCGGGCGACGCTGAGCAAGGTGTTCGCGAGCGCGTTCGCGCGGTGGTCGGCGGCGACGACGCTCAACTTCACGGAGGCCGCGTCGGCGGCCGACGCCGACATCACCATCGGGTTCTACGGCGGCGACCACGGCGACGGCGAGGCGTTCGACGGGCCGCTCGGCACGCTGGCGCACGCGTTCTCGCCGACCAACGGGCGCCTCCACCTGGACGCCTCGGAGGCGTGGGTGGCCGGCGGCGACGTGACGCGGGCGTCGTCGAACGCCGCCGTCGACCTGGAGTCCGTGGCGGTGCACGAGATCGGCCACATCCTCGGCCTCGGCCACTCGTCGGCGGCGGACTCCATCATGTTCCCGACGCTCACGTCGCGCACCAAGAAGGTGAACCTCGCCACCGACGACGTCGCCGGCATCCAGGGCCTGTACGGGAACAACCCCAACTTCAAGGGCGTCACGCCGCCGGCGACGAGCAGCCGGGAGATGGACAGCGCCGGCGCCGGCGAGCTCTCCCGGCCGTGGCGACGCTTGCTCGACGGCGCCGCGGGCTTGCTCGTCGGGTTGTCGCTAGCGTGGTTGTAGGCAGCACCACATTTCCAGTGACCATTTCCATCGCTTTGGTTTGGTTGGTCATTTTGGTAGAGTTATTTTTTGTGCTATTTTTTTGGTTTGGATTAATTAGTTTTTCTTTGTTTTATGAATGGCTAATTGATTTAATTGCTGTGTATAGATAAAAATTAAAAACGATTGCAACATGCACATGCATGGATTGATTAATTAAAGTAGCTTCGAATCTTAGGAAAAGCTGTGCTTGTGATGCCACATATGCGTATAGTTTTTTTTAGGAGGGTGTTTGTTGATAGATTGAGAGATAAGATAATTGGAATGGATCCACATGAAACGACATCCTAATCCAGGCTGTATTGTGTTTTTCTTTTCTTGGGTGATTCCGTCATGTGTGAAAGTATAGCTGATTGGTTCATTTCCATCGAGTGTTGCTCCAACAGCCGGCGCTCATGACGCTGCTGCCCGGCCTGTTGCGCCTGTTGGCAATATGGCTAGTTGATCGGTTATACGCCTAGTTTATTAGGGTTTTAATTATAAATTTAGTGTTAGTGGACAGGACACCAATTTTAAGGGCGTGCATGACGTTACAGTGAGTGTATATAAAGTGTACATGTGTTTTTTTAATAGGCGTTGTAGAAAAAGGATGTCTCTTCTAACATATGGCCCTATAACTTTGATTACTTATATATGGATCTGTTGGATGTAGGTCTATACGTCAGCCACTCAGAGTCAGGGGAGATGATTTTTTTTTTTTGGAAAGAACATAACTCTAAAATGTAAAAACCAACCAAATGGAGGTCATGTTTGGGAGAAGATGGGGGGACGCTGATGGGCGATTGACCGTTTATGTATATGTATATGTATATATTTTTTATAGGCCTATTTGTATATATATTTATAAAATTTTTTTATATGCATATCATTTATGCATCCATGTATAGACATTGGACTCTATACATTGGACGTACAAAAATTCATACATATTGTATGAATTTTATGCATATACATGCATACTTTATACGCATATGAATAAACTTTATACATATACACATAAAGTTTATTTTATAAAAAATAAAAAAAATCTATAGGCCAAGAAGGTGATCATGCGTGCACGTGCGACTGATAGCTAATTAGCGATTTCGGAGAATATGTCATCAGCTGTAGCTACTCCTTGAACACATGATCTTCACCACAAGATTTTCACTTTAGATCGTGAGACGAGTCGTCGATGTGTCATTACGGGGGGTTAAACAAACGGAAATGGTAGCCCTGGGCTGGCCCAACTAGCCGTCTTATTTATATATTATGCGTTTAGTTTCAGAAAATACTGGGCTGACGCCGGCCGCCGTGTGCCCGCCCGTGTGATGTGTGAGTTGTGACATTGTGCAGCCTGCGATGATCCACGGCCAGCTAGAGCATTAGCCCGTAATTTGTTTGTAACTGCATGGATTTTCCCAATTCGTGTGAGAATTGTGAATTTTCAATTGGAAATTTTTAGATTTTGAACTAAACATGCACCTCTAAATGGCATGATTTTTTTAATACACGTATGTGTGTAATATTTATGGATGCCAGGATTTAAATCCTGGTGGCAGAATAATATTCAAGGCTCGAAAAAAATGTTGATTCGGCTACCTGGTGATGCTCTCTATAATTGCAGTTAGGTTCTAATATCCCATCTCTTTAAAACAATAATAATTTCAATTTCATCTCTTCATGTACTTGGCCACTATTATCTAAAAAAATATACTTGGTCACTCTTGCCCGTGTAGTACATCTGGTTAGATGTAAAGATCTGGTTTATCTCATTTTGAAAAAAAACGGAATTATATACTATACTTTGCGAGAGTCACCGTCCAATTGGGGGCGCGGGGCCCCCTTGCTGACGTGGGGCTTCCCGGTCAACCCTTCCAGATAACCTAAATTAACTGTTAACTGCATATTACTCCTGCGCTAGAAAGTAGAAACTATGGTTGATGGCTATACCGTCCTTTTCTATTCTTTACGTTAGGCAAAATTTTCTACATGACTAATTTGTTAATGGATATCATAAAAATATGCTACGTCTAGATGATATCTTCAAAAACTAGTAGTCTACTAGAGGATACCATAACTGTTATTTAATAAGTAAATTTTACAAAGCTATAGATATTTTGATCAAGCAATCGTAAAAACTATATATTTAAGATATTCTATCACAAAACAACAGATAAAGCGTCAATTTTATCATTAAACTTTATATTTAAGGCTAAATATCACAAACTACAGATTTAGTATCGAAATTATCACAAAACTATATATTTTAGAGGTTAAATCTCTATCACTACCATTATGTTGGAGCCATGAACGTTGTAGTTATGTAATTAAATTCGTACTAAACATCTAGTTAATTTTATGATAAATTTACTACTTAATCTGTAGTTTTGTGAAACTTCATATTAAATTTGTAATTTCATAATAAATTTGATGTTAAATATGTGGTTTTGTTATAGTTTGGTCAAAGTTTCTTTTATTAAATTTACTCTTATTTCATTATCTCAAGCTCACTGTAAGAGAAATTATTTAAAAAGATGAAAATGCCCCTTGAGTCACAACCTTCTAGCCTTGCAGCTGGAGTGAAGAAGGATAGCAATATACTAAGGGTGATTAAAGATTGAGAGTTGCATAATGTATAGTTTAAAAATTTGTTATTTTAACACGATTTCTCTATCTAATTATGTTAGAAATAATAAAATAATTGATGCAGCATACTCCGACAAATTATAAGTTTTTGAAGGTGTCATATAGCCGTGGCACTTTTTGGTGATGTTAAGTTCGTCAGTAAACTTGATGTTTCTATCAGCAAATTAGGCAAATTAATTATGGTTGTGTTTGGATCTCCTTACGCGCAAAACGAAGCTCGTATTATTGCATGATTAATTAAGTATTAACTATTTTTTAAAAAAATAGATTAATATAATTTTTAAAATAACTTTGATATATAAAGTTTTTTATGAATCACACTGTTTAGCAGTTTGAAAAACGTGTGCACGGAAAACGAGAGAGCTGGTTGGAAAAATGAGGAAGAACACAGCCTATATCCTCCATCTTAAAGTCGCTTTTCCATCGTCAGAAGTAGAGCTATAGTTTGGAGGGGCTCGGTGAATCCCAAGGTAACTAGGTAAGTGAAATTACCGATAGCTATTCGTCTTCGTCGCCGGAGAAGACGATGCACGAGATCTGCTGCCTCTCCTTTTCCGTAATTTTTTTAAGGGCATTTTCCACGTGTTAGTCAAGGTGAACCGTGGGCATTCATTGGCCACAAACCAAAATAAACTAATCTAAAATATAAGAATCGGTAATCTAGAAAAATAAAAAATGCGGTCACTGACTCCACTACAGTACTCTCCTTCGCCGCGCCGGGTCTGTCACCGGAAGAAATCAAAAGAAGCGTGCAACTAATTAAACAACTCATTCGATAAAAAAAATAATAAAGAACTCATCAGTCGACCATCGCCGTCCATACTTAAGGCTGTTCAGATTAATACCATTTTCAATCATACCATTTTTTACTTAAAAAATCTATGTTTAATTTGTTGCTAATTTAGTAAATATATAAGAAATCATACCAAAATATTATCATCTTGTAAAAATTTTAGTTTTGATAAAGTTTATTTTGGCTATAATCTGAACATACCCTTCATTCCCCCTTTGTGATCTCCATCCTCTTCGAGTATCGAGTATGCTTCTCTACGCACCGCCAATGACAGGTGGGCCAGCATCCAGCTCTCCCCACACGGGACCCCACCCGTCGGCGTCCCCCGACCCGGAACCTTCCTTCCGTTGCCGCCACTCGCGCGTTCGCCTGGTCGGTCCGCGCCGCCGCCAGCCGCCAAAGTCAATTCCCACAACCTTCCAGAATCCAGAACGCGTACTCCTCCTCCACATCATCCATGACCCCCCCCCCCCTCCCCAAGAAACCAAGAATCAAATTCCTTAGCTGTCCACGACCGCATTTACCTCATCCTCATCGATCGCCTTGTCTATAAAAGACACCGCCCCGGAGACCACGAGTTCATCCACCGGTCGACCTTTGGCAGCTTAGCTTACCCTATCTTACACGGCAGAGGCAGGGGTTTGTTTGATTGGTTGATCGATCGATTGACGAGATGAGCAGCAGCTCGTACGGGACGTCGTGGGCGGACCAGTGGGACTACGGCAGCGACCCGCCGCCGCCGTCGTCGTCGTCGGGGAAGAGGAGCGGCGGCGGAGGAGGAGGAGGAGGGAAGAAGGGTATGGAGAAGACGAAGGCGGCGGCGGCGAGCGGGCTGAGGAAGGTGAAGGAGGGGACGGCGCATGGGTTCCAGTGGATCAAGGACAAGTACCAGCAGAAGAAGTCCGGTGGCAAGAAGCACGGCGACCAGCAGAGCTCGGAGATCGCCGGCTACTGATCGTTGATACCACATCATATCGTTGATGATGATTTGAGGTGTTCTTGCGTGTAGATAGGTCGATCGGGGGTCATTCTTTGGACCGATCGATATATGGACGTTAATTTGTTCGTCTTTGTGTGTTATTTGTATATAGGAGATGAGATTTACTCCGGTCCAACAAAAAGTAACTCGAGGTACCGATACCTCACGGTACCAAATTGTTTCCGATCGTTGGATCTAGCTGGGTGGGTTGGGCATCGTTAGATCCAACGATCGGAAATGATTTTGTACCGCGAGGTACCGATACCTCGAGATACTTTTTGTTGGACCGAAGAAAAACTCATATAGGAGATGGGTGCTCTTGTTCGTAGTTTGTTTGATTCTGTTATTTTTTTTCTCTTGTAGATATAAAAGAGATTGGGATTTGTTTCGCTGTGTCTTGTTTATTTTTGACTCGTCCCTTGCATGTCAATCACGATTAAATCCTCTGCAAACCTAACAGAATTGGACGGCGAATTGGCAAATCCTCTGCACATGCTTTGCTTCACATGCAACGAACGTATATTGTATTTCCTATCCTTTGTGCTACACACACAAAAAGAAAAGGAAATTAAATTCCTCAACAAGAAATCCAGTATAGGAAATCGTGATTCACACGCAGCTTTTCATTCTGTGATCACCTTTCTTTCAGTGATCAATGACTGGTTTGGTTTGAGATCTAAATTAAGCTTACTAATATTTGATAATTTTAGTAGTGTTTAGTGTCTATTTGGTTTAAAGCCAAATTTTGACATGCCTAAGAAAATAGGTCATTTCAATTATGAACTTAGGCTATTTTGGCTTTAATCTAAATACAACTTTGCCTTACCAAAATTAGTTATGCCAAAACTTGCTAAAATTTGGTATTGATAAAATTTGGTAAGCCACAAACCAAAACAACCCCAAAAACTAACAAGACAAAGCCAGTAAATTCTCCCCAGACCATACAGATTTCAACACTGCTAAAATTAATCCTCTCTAATTCTCTACGACTCTACTTATATAATTGATGCATCCATGGCGGCGCCCGCGTTAATTAGTAGTACTTGCACAAGTGTGTGAAGACGACGAAGCTGACGCAGCTGAGGAGCGCCAAGAACCAGTAGTACTTGTCCAGCCGCGCCTCCCGGGGATCATCGGAGAACCACCCGTGATCGTGCCCGCCCCCGCCGCCCCCCGCCGTCGCCATCTCGAGCGCGGTGATGAGGAACGCGCCGACGAAGCTGCCGACGCCGAAGACGCTGAGGTAGAGCGCGATGCCGACGGTCCTCATGGCGCTGGGGACCTGGGTGTAGAAGAACTCCTGCATGCCCACCACGGTGAACACGTCGGAGACGCCGAGGAGGACGTACTGCGGGAGGAGCCAGAATATGCTCAGGCGGCCGCCGGACGAGGACGACGCGGCGGCGCGGGGGCGGCGCGCCTCGACGAGCGCGGCTACCGCCATGGCGACGATGGAGAGCACCATCCCGACGCCGATCCGCTGGAGCACGGTGATCCCCTTGCCGTGGCCGGTGAGCGGCACCACCACCCGGTCGTAGAGCGGCATGAGGAGGATGATGGAGACGGTGATGGAGCTCTGCAGCATCGCTGGAGGGATCACGAACACGGCGCCGACGCGGTGGTCCATCAACATCCCCTGCTTGGTGAAGAACGTCATCGGCTGCTGGAAGATGACCGCGAACATGAGCAGCATCGTCCAGATTGGCAGCAGCCTCACTATGATCTTGCCCACGCTTGGTGCTGCAGCCTCACTCATGGCCTCCTCCTGCTTCTGATCAACCAGCTTCAGTGGCTTATCCTGCAACCTGCATTTCAAAAATTCACATCTCTCATCCATAATTTCAAAACCAAATTCCAAGATTTGAGCTAGGTTGTTCCAAATAAAATCAAAATTCAGGTAATTTTTTAAGTGCAGCAAAACTGAACAAAAATCTTACTCTAGCTCAGACACAATGTCAGCGTCATCGTCGCCGTCTCTGGATGGCAGGGTGATCTTTCTGGCAGTGACACTTGCGAGAGGCGATTTGAGAGCTTTGAGGACGCTGTCACGACAAGGCTTGTGATGAACAACTCTCGGTTGCCTCTTCTTGTAGAGGGGAGTGCAACAGAAGAAGGCGGCGACGGAGACGGCCATGACGGCGGCCGGGACGGCGAAGCCGATGCCCCAGCCGACGGTGTCCTGGACGTAGGACATGGTCGAATTGCCCAGCAGGCTGCCGCTGCACATGCCGATGTACCACCACTGGAAGAAGACGCTCCTCACCTTGCTCCTCTGCTCTTCTGTTGTTGGTGTGCCATTGTCGCCGCCGTCGTCGTCGTCGCCGATGTCGAGCTGGTCGGCGCCGAAGGCTTGCAGTGAAGGGTTGTAGCCGCCTTGCCCGATGGAGATGAGGTAGAGTGGGAAGATGAGCGTCGAGTAGGGCACCCTTGTGCGCAACAGTGCCACTAAGGCAACTCCTATTAACACCTGGAGATTAAACAGTATCAGTGAGAAACTCACTGGCTATTAAAATCAAGGTTAATTCGATCCGTGCCATTACAAATATGTCATTTTAGATGAATTGTAATAGGAGTTATTCAGCTATTCAAAGACGTGCCATTGAAATTTTATAAAATTAAAACCGTGCCACTACCATCACATTTTCTATCTTTTTCCTCATCTGCACATGAAACCCACCTATTAGATTCATCGTCTTCCTCGATCCTCCCATCTATTTCTTCCCATATCTCTCCACCACCTCTCGGCCTCCCACCAATCGTGGTAATGGAACAGAAACCCCGACGGCGACGGCCCGGCTGTCTCCGACGAGGGAAGGGAGAGCTGCTGATATGCTGCCTCGTCACTGTTGCCGATCGACACGGACACCGCTGGGCCGGCGGACCGGTTCAGGGCGCGCGCCTTGACGTACACCGTCACCAGCGGCATCCCACCCGCCCCCCGCACGTGCCGCCATCTTCCCTCGGCGACGACAAGGACGATGACATCATCTTGTCGCCGCGGCCGGCCAATAACCACCTCGTGTGCCAGCTGCTATCCCTTGCGTCCTCTCTCGCGTTAGCGCTCTCCTCGTCCTCGGGCCTCTCCCTCCATCAGCCTCCTCACCGTGCGCCGCGAGCTCCTCTAGCGGCAGGAGCACCTCGCCGCCTTCTTCGAGTCTTCGCCGCTGTCGCCAGGTCTGCTCATGCCGGTTCGCGCGCGCCACTTGCTCCACCACGCCACCTCTATCACTTGCTCGAGCTCTCCACCCCATCACCGCTGCTTGTTTCCATTGTTGGGGATGAGGGTGGCAGTGGACAACATGTAAATAATCACCGCGACGCCGCGTGTATGCCAAGCGGCCCCGCGTTGGCGCCATGGATCGATGGACAACAGGGGCAAAGACTGATGATGGGAAGAGAGAAGGAAGAAGATGGAGAAGGAAGGGGATGGATGGAAAATGTGGCAGCAGTGGCACAAGTTCAATTTTATAAAATTTTAGTAGCTCAGCTATGAATAGACTAATTATAATGGCATTTATGTGAAATGATATATTTGCAATGGCATGAATCAAATTAACCAACAATGCCACTAAGGAAGAGGCGGTTTTCAGAGCAAGTTCAATAATATATAGCCAACTACTATTTTAAAAAAATAAAATATTATCTATAGTCAACTTAATAGCTTACTCATATAATAGATAGTTGTAGAGATATATTACATCGTTAATATCTAATCAACATATCTCTCTCGTATAGTTTATTAAAGCCCGTGCTACAGGTTACAGCTGGCTACAAATTTGTAGCCCGCTTTTCTTTTCTTTCCTTTCCTTTCTTCTCCACATAAGCACAAATGTGATGTGACAAGTTATACAACCTATTTATGTCAACTTATTATACTTGCTCTTAGGCTATGTTCTTTAGCTAGTGTTTCCAACTTTTACTGATCGTTTTTCACACACACGCTTTCTAAACTGTTAAACGGTATGTCTTTTTAAAAATTTTCTATACGGAAGTTGCTTTAAAAATTCATATTAATCCATTTTTTTAAGTTTCTAAGCTTATATTTTTGTGAAAGTTTTCTATAGGATTTTTTTTTAAAAAATCATATTAATCTATTGTTAAACTTTTTTAGCTAATATTCCCTCCGTCCCAAAATATAAGAATTTAGGATTGGATGGGATATTTCCTACTACCACCAATCTAAACATATTGTTTGTCCAGATTAGTAGTACTAGGAAATGTCGCATCCGATTCTAGATTCTTATATTTTGGGACGGAGGGAGTACTTAATTAATCGAGGGGTACATTATCTATCACGAAAAAAATAAATAGTCGACACACGTGTTAAGTCTAGTATTTGAACTCGGGTGAGCTAGAACTCGGGAGAGCTGGTTTCACTATCAGTTTTCTAGCCAAATTAAGTTACACTCACTTCACACGAGGTATCTTAATTAAACAACCATTCCTAGAGTCTCCTTAGGAGCCGTAAAAATATTGGTATCCATGATCAATCAACGGGTAAAAATAATGAGAGGAAACTTACAAAGACGTAGAACAAGGAGGAGGCCGTGATAGTGGAGTAACGGTCCCAGTAAGAGTCGGTGAGGACGGCGGTGAGGAGCGGCAGCATGGACGTCACCCCGCTCCACGCGCTGACGCTCTTCGCCGCCGCCGACGTGCTCATCTCCACCACCTCCGTCAGGTACGTCACCAGGTTCGACCCCACCCCCTTGTACGCCAGCCTCTCCATACTCGCCACCACTGCATAAACGCACAACCACCGTAAATCCATGAACACAACTCGATCCACCATCAGATCTCAACTTTGGTTGTGCTCGTGAGTGGGAGTTGGGTTCTAATTAATTAAGTATTAGATATTTTTTAAAAAAATAAATCAATATAATTTTTAAAGTAGCATTTATGTATTTTTTTTAAAAAAACATACTGTTTAACAGTTTGGGAAACGTATACATGGGAAAAAAATGAGAAAGTTGAGTTGAAAGTTTTTAGCCGAAAGTTTTTAGCCTGGAGGGTTAGTGCATTACCTATGATCAGGACACAAGCCCTGCTCAGCCTTGGTGTCACCACCATGATCGATGAATGTGTGGGCGCGCTACGATGATCGATTACTTTGCTTTCGCCCTGTTTGGGAGCTCAAGATTCTCAGAAAAGAACATTGAGTAGCTGGTTTTGATGGAAGTCTGGAAGAGTTGGATGTTCTCAGCTTCTTAAAATCTAGGTGAGAATCTGAATTGCTTCACGAACTGGAGACTCTGGAAAAAAAACTGCAACTGTTAGAAAGCTCTTCGAACAAGGCCTTTGCATTTTTCTTCCTCTGCTTTAGTCAGTAAATTACTGTCATGAAAAAAAGTACCCATGAACAACTTGGAGCTTTTGCGGTCAATTGAATTGTGCTAAGTTTTCGTTCGGCAGTGTTAGTTTGTGAGAAAATTTGTTTCGTTTTCCACGCACACGCTTCCTGAATTATTAAACGGTGTGTTTTTTATAAAAAAATTTTATATGAAAGTTGCTTTAAAAAATCATATTAATCTATTTTTGAAGTTTAAAATAGTTTATACTCAATTAATCATACGCTAATGGCTTATCTCGTTTTACGTACACTTTAGTATAATGTATATTTATGCTAGTCTACCAGGAGACAATTAAATTTAGTGAAATGGTTGTGTACAGAGCCGTTTGGCACTGCTTAAACTAAAAAGCTGGAGTACATCTCATTTTGAATTTTAGAATTTGATTTGATTTCGAAATTAATTTTAGGTGATTTTTTTCACCACTTACGCTGCGCAGCCTTATTTTCATGATTGCTACGACCATAGGTAAAAATACTTTGCTTAAACTTATTCTTAAAAATTACATTTCCAAATTTTGGCTTTAAAACAAAAGGTAGTGCCAAGGAGCCTATATGTTCAGAAAGACATAAATTTGTCCATGATTTTTCGTTACTTAAAAAGAATAATGCCACTCCTGTACTGAAAGAACTACCTATTGCGGAACACATCCATTGATGGCTACATATATAAGGTGCAAAGCAACGGAAAAGAGAGTACTGGCTGTTTGGTTCCCAGCCACACTTTACCATTACTTGCCAACAAAAGTTGCCACACCTTGCTTAAGGTGAGGTGATCAAATTGTTAGCCACAACTTACTAAGCCTAAGGGAATCTTGCCACACTTTTTTAAGCCATTGACACGTGGGACCCAATTTGTTGGAGGGGAATCTTGCCACAACTGTGGCTACAACCAAACACCTGTCAAATTTGCCTAACCTTAGACGTGGCAAACTGTGGCAAAGTGTGGCTTGCAACCAAACACACCCTAAATGATCCACCAAGAATCCCACAAATATATACTAGGGGTCTATTTAGAGAGTATCTGACCACAACAACATCTCTTAAAATTAAAAGCTCTTCTCATAGAATCTAGAAAATAACTAGAAGCTAAAAAGCTTATTTTTCTACTTTCTTCACGATGAAGCTAGATTCCTGTCCGATACAAATATCCTGTTCCGCACTAGTGTCACCAGCTACTTTTAAAATTCTAAAGCTCTCTAACCAGACCTAGAGCATCAAAACACGAGAGAGCGGTGCAACCACAAGAAAATGCTTTTAACTGTGCTCTAAAGTGCAATCAACTAGGACTGCTCTAGAATCCAAAGACTAACTAGGTCAACTCGGGTATCAAATCACATGCCGAGTTTAGATCTAAATTTTTTCTTCAAATTTTTAACTTTTCCATCATATCGAAACTTTTCTACACATATAAACTTTCAACTTTTCCAGCACATCGTTTCAATTTCAACCAAACTTTCAATTTTGGCGTGAACTAAACACACCCTGATTGAAATAAGAGGAAATTTGAAGAGTTGCGTACGGTACCGAACAAAAAAAACTCAGTAAATGTGTGTTTAGTTCACACCAAAATTAGAAGTTTGGTTGAAATTGGAACGATGTGACGGAAAAGTTGGAAGTTTGTATGTAGGAAAGTTTTGATGTGATGGAAAAGTTGAAAGTTTGAAGAAAAATTTTGGATTAAACTAGTTCCTAAATTTTTTTCCCAAAAACATCCCATCAAATTTTTGGACATATACATAGATCATTAAATATAAATATAAATAAAAACTAATTGTACAGTTGGCATGGAAATCACGAGACGAATCTTTTGAGCCTAATTAGTCCATGATTAGCCATAAGTGTTATAGTAACCCATATATGCTAATGACAGTTTAATTAGACTTAAAAGATTCGTCTCGGGGTTTCCATGCGAGTTATGAAATTAGTTTTTTCATTCGTGTCCAAAAACCCCTTCGAACATCTAGTCAAACATCCGATGTGACAGCCAAAAATTTTCTTCTCGCGAACTAAACACACCTGTAAAGGCATGACCAAAAAATCAACCTGCAGCTAGCTAGATATTCAGATTTCTGCTGAAGCACATATGCCGGTAAAAAAAAATGCGTGTTGCTAGCTAAGTTGCTTGTGGGCAAGGGCCGGTAAAAAAAAAAAAGATGGATCAAGAAGCACTCCCAATTGTCCCAAGCAGCCAGGCTAGACACAGAGCAAAAATACACACCATAAACCAACAGACAGACAAGAGATCGAAAACTAGAACATGAGCCAACTCATTGCATGACTTACACTGTTCATCCACTCATATATATAGGTATTGCTATACAAACTACTCCAAGTCCCAGCCCTAGTGAGACAAGCAGCTTAGCACTGGAGTGAACCTCCTAGATTAATGGGTGAAGGTTTCACCCTCACCCTTTTATAGGGTTGAACCTAACTAACCCTGGAGCCTGCTCAATAAGTCAATATTATTGTTTATATAAGGAAAATGTCTCCACTACACCACTGAACTATTATGATCAACCAAATTACCCACAAACTCGAATACCATATATTTTATATTCTCAATTATTTAACTGAACAAATAAACCCTCTAACTCAATTTGTAGTGGTTTTGATCCTAAGTGGCGTACATATTGTTGTCCAACAAGTAATTCTTTTCTAAAAAATTCGAGAATCAAGTGTATTGGCATACCTCGACCACTCATATAGACGCTGGAAGAATTGCTACAACGCTAGTCGAGAACCAAATGTAGTCGTCTCAACCAATCGTAGAGGTGGTGTGAGAATCGTTACAACGATGGTCGAGTACCAGGTGTGTAGTTGTAACCCGATCACTCATAGAGATGGTGGGAGGATCGCTACGACGCTGGTCGAGGACTTGGTATAGTCATACCTCGACCACTCACAGATATACTTAAGTTGGTTATTACATGCATATGTATCTCATTTGGTCAGCATGACTTCTCATACCGAAGAGTGGCAAATAGTTGGATGCCCCCGTTTTCTACCTTCTGGAAACAGCAAGGGAATATTCCTCGAATACATGTTTCTTTTTTTTAAATAGAGCACATGTTCATTGAAAAAATGTTTATTGTAGTAGTATATATCACACTCACCGACGGGCTAAACAAAATTATAAAGACTTTAATCACTTACAAGATCCTAACCCAAAGTCCTAAGTCCAAGTCAAATTATAAAGAATTTAGATATTCTTTAAGAATTAGAATCCTGCAAGGTCGCCAAGAAGCATCGATCTGAGTCAAAATAAATATATGTTAGTTTCTATTACTTCAAATGTGTCGGTACATTTCCTCTGATTCAAAATGTACAGCATATTTTGTTTCGTTTCGTTAGAACAAAGATATTAAAATATCATTTATGATGCAAATAAAATTATAAAAAGTAAGCACTTCTGAATATGAATCTAACAAATTTAATTTTGTACCATACAAATAATATCCTACTAAAGTAATTGTCACTCAAAGCCTTATCATAACAAAACAAAACAAAATAGGAACTATGTATATTTTAAAATAGTGCGAGTATGATCTACTCCCTCCATTCCCAATCAATTGTCATATAATTCTTTGACATATTATTCCTAAATAATCATCATATTAGTATTCATTTAGTAAGTCTGTTAGTTATCAATGCATGAGAGTGAATAGACATTGGTGCATACATCATACACACGATCCTTTATGATCAACGTGCAATATTTTGGTTTGTTAAAGCATCAACAACAGATTTGGTAAATTTTATCTCCAAAATTTTGTTTAGGATTGGCTAAATTTTTATTGATATATATGTGAAAATAGTTATCCCTCCAAGAGATAGGGTAAAATCTAACTCCCTAAAATCAAATAGTGCCCCATGAAAAATTATCAACAGAAATGCAGTTTTTCTCCATCGCCTCCCCTCGCCGTCCCCACCCTCCCAACCCTCAGCGATCATGTAGCGCTGAAGAAGATCTCGAACGTGTGCCCGTTTGTTTCTGTGCACGTCGGGAAACGGGAGATTGGGAGCGGAACCATGCGACTCTCTTAGCCTCATATGAACAAAGTGAAGATTACACAGATTGAAATTCCAAAAGATCAGCAATAGAGTAGGAGACCTGTCGGAACATTTCTTTTTACCAAAATTCCAAAAAATAGGATTGGGGATGGAATAGGACCATTGTTGATGATACCGTGATTCTTTTAGTGGCTAAGAAGTAGTGGGGATGGGGCTCTTTTTTTCCTGGTGGACCTCTGATGAATTGGAAATGGAGAGAGTATTAGGCCGGGTTCATTAATTGCTTGGGGTTGGGAGCTAATCTCTCGTCCACATAAAACGAAGTAACTCATTAGTAACTAAGTATTAGCTAGTATTTTTTTAAAAAAATATATTAGTATAATTTTTTAAAACAACTTTCGTATATAATTTTTTTTAAAACAAATACACTGTTTTGTACGAGAGAGGTGAACTTCATCACAAGAACTCAGCCTTTGGAAATAAAAGTACCAGGAAACAGCCGGGAACATGTTGCAAACCAAGGAGATCTATGTATTCCTCCAATTAAGGAACATATACAATTTTGCATTGACTAGCAATGTGTAAAACAACTGCACGATACAAGTTCCAATACGAATTTAAGGCGCACGCATGGATTCCAAGGCCAACGTGCAAGGCATCCGGCCGACCAACCCGGCCTGGATCTCTCTATCAGCCGGTCATGGCGTCA